TACTCATCCTAGCACCTCGTAGTCGTCATCCTCACGCTCGTCGCTGTCCCCCTTACCCTTTCCCCCCCTCGCGCTACTGCTCGCCTTCCTAGTATTTGTAGTACTTAGTAATAGTCGACGTGGCGCAGTCGTCGTCGTAGTCGTAGTCGTCGTAGTCGTCGTCGTGTTAGTAGTATTGGTCGTCGTCGTCGTAATAGTGGTAGTGTCGTCGTCGTGGTAGTTGTTGTTGTTGTTGTTGTTGTTGTTGTTGTTGTTGTTGTTGTTGTTGTTGTTGTTGTTGTTGTTGTTGTTGTTGTTGTTGTTGTTGTTGTTGTTGTTGTTGTTGTTGTTGTTGTTGTAGTTGTCGTAGTAGTTGTTGTAGTTGTCGTAGTAGTTGTTGTAGTTGTTGTTGTAGTCGTAGTCGTCGTAGTTGTAGTCGTAGTAGTCGTGGTAGTTGTCGTAGTTGTTGTCGTTGTCGTTGTAGTTGTAGTAGTTGTTGTGGAGACAAACACACTAGCGCCCGTCACCGTGCAACGGTTGAAGCGGAACAACGTTGACGTTGCGCACGCCTGAATGTCATCGACGTGAGCGTCGTTCAGGGTGTACGTGACGAAAGCATCGTATGCCAGAACCTGGATGGTCTCGTGCGTATCGCCATTGTAGCGGCACACCTGATGGAAGCAAATCAAACCCACACAATCAGAGCGAAATGCTGGTTAGCACGGGTGTTGTTCGTGAAATGGCACTTGACACACGACACTTGACACGCACGACCGTTCATCAGCATCCCAAGCAAATCAAAGAGCAAGCACACGCACACACTAACACGTGCATGCATGCACACTCACCCTGCCAATGCCGCAGTCATCAGCGAGGGCCTGCTTCCACTTCTCGCCAAACAGGTCGAGGTCGGCATCGTTCTTGTCCGTCATGTTCTGGCGGTCGCACGCCACCTCAACCTACAGCCAACAGCAGCAGCAAGCGAAAACAATCACCGTGAGGCACGTATGAGGCATATGTGGGATTGCAGCGAATGCACAAACCGCTGAGCAATCCATGCAGCTGTGCACACTTGACGCCGTGCAGATGGCTGTCACCCTTCACACACACAACACACACGCACACACACGCACACACAAACACACACACACACACACACACACTCACTCACACGCAGAGTTTCTGGTAGTGGCAGTGCATGTATGCAAAGTACACTTGAACCAAGCATGAACTTACGCGCATGGGAGTATCGAAGATGTTCTGGGTGCAGTTGGCGATGGCCTTGCAGTTCTTGTTGGTGCCACCACCCTCGACGGTGCACGGCCACACGCGCAAGCAATCTGCAACATTCAGTATTCGAACAACGTAGGGCAGGGATACATACGTGTGAGGCACTGTTTGACGAGAGCCGGTCTCAGAGTTGAGGCGCACAGGCGCTTTGAGCCGCCACCATGTGACACTTGGAGCATGCAAGCAGGCACGCGACCCTAAAAAGAGTTTTGCAGTCTCAGGCTCAAGCATCCGTACCGCCATCGGAGCATTCGGAGAAGCGACGGCACTGGCATGTTCCACCTGAAAATGCAAGCAAGCAAAGCGGCACAGCGCATCAGTTGGTGTGGGTGCGTGAGACACATCATACAACTATGACGCTTACACACACACACACACACACACACACAGCTTGCGTGGAATTGAGAACACGAGAACCCACTCACTTCACACAACTGAGAAGCACGTGTCGCAGAGTAGCTCGCAAGCAGGTGGGTGGGTGAGGGGAAATGCTCACCGATATCGCAACGCTCGCGGTTCAGGCCTGTTGCGCCGCCGCTCTCAAAGTAGTACCCGGAGTTTGAATCGGTCAGATCGCCGCATTCAACAAGGTTCTGATGTGTGTGTGTGTGTGTGTGTGCGTGTGAGGAATGTGAGTGGTTGCACATTGGGTGGTTGATGAGTGGTTGCGCATTGAGTGATGGCACGAGGGCGGAACAAAGCGCGCGTCACCAGCATCAGTGCCCTACACAACACATTGCCTCACCACAGCGGAGAAGAATTCAGAGGCGGTAAGCTCGGTTCCAAGGACGACGCCATCAGGTGGGCTTTGCTGCCATCGTGATAAGAAATGGATGGGTGAGTTGATGACGACAACGTGGATTTGATGTAATGGATGAGATGGGTTGGTGCAAGGCAAATGAGAGGTGGTTGAGAAGGTGATGGTGAGGCACCCAAGCAAGCACGCGCGTAAACCAATATGTGCCTTTCTCTCTCCCTCCTCCTCTTCTTCTTCTTCTTGCTCCTCCTCTTTCCATGCATGCATGGAAGCATGAGAAGCTGTTGTGGCTTGCCAGGTGGTACGAGCAGGCCATCCATCACACGAGCCGGCCGCGTTCCCCTTTCTTCTTCCCCTTTCTTCTTCCCCTTTCTTCTTCCCCCTTTCTTCCTCCTCCTTCTCTCCCCTTTCTTCCTCCTCCTTCTCTCCTTCACAACCGACTCACCGCGATGGCGGCGGGGTAGGAGAACGCTGCAAGCACAGCCAACAGCAACAGCGCTGTTGTGGTTTGCTGCCTCATGGTTGCGGTTTTGAAGCTCGCTCGGTGATGGAGATGGAGACGGGAGGTGATAGTCAACCGTGTAAAGAAAGAAGCGGGAACAAGCGGGAGGAGGAGAAGCAAGGCACGCTGTTTTGGAGCAAGGCGTGTGGTGGGATGAATGAAAGTCTGATTGGGTAGGGTGGGGATGTGGCTTGGCGCAACAACCAACCAAGAAGGTGCGACAGAGCAGGTGCTGATAGACACAACACGAAGCAAGAGCGAGTGAATGAAAGATGCAACGCACAGCCAGCCAGCACAGGCAGCGGGAGAAACAAAAAAACTTGCACCACGCGCGCAAAGCACACAGCAACAAAAGAAAAACTGAGTGAGCGAGACCTCGCGCTTGCACACTGGCTCGTGCACAACAATGGTCTGTTGCTGCGGCGTGTGTTTTGACTGATGAGGAGCGAGCGGGTGTGTGCGCGCGTGGGCGACAACCGTTACAAAGTTTGCCATCGCATTTCGGTTGACCTGACGAGATTTTCGCCACGTTCGGGTTGGGTCCTTGACAATTCTCACGGGTGGAGCCCTGCGAACGAGGCTGCGATGCGCCAGCGAAGGTCCCACAACGGTATTTCCATTGTGAGCAGAAGTGCTGCACAACAACAACAACAACAGCAACAAGCGAAAACAAACGGACGCTTGGTGCATGCAAGCAACAACGGATTGTTTGCGCAAATTTTGCTCAAACATTCGTCAGCCACTCATTTCGTCAGTAATTTCCATTTTTATGCTGTCCGCGACGGCTGCCTGGCCCCTTGAATTGAAAAAATTGCACAAGATGGACCTGTCGACGTTTCGACAACTGCTGAAGGACGGCAGTGGTAATGATGCCGATAGTGGTGGTGGTGGTGGTGGTGTAGGGCTCAATGCCTTCTACATCCCCAGCGCAGATGAACACCAGGTATTGTGCGTGTTGCGCGTGTGTGTGTGTGTGTGTCTGTGTCTGTGTGTGTCTGTGTGTGTATGTCTGTGTCTGTGTGTGTGTGTGTGTATGTGTGTTTGTCTGTGTGTGTATGTGTGTGCGTAGTTGCTGGCTCATTTGTCCTCCTTGTTTGGGTATTGCTGTGTACACCACACTCACTCACTCACTCACTCGCACACTCACTCACTCACACTCACTCACTCACACTCACTCGCCCACTCACTCACTCACTCACTCACTCGCCCACTCACTCACTCACTCACTCACTCGCTCACTCGCCCACTCACTCACTCACTCACTCATCACTCACTCACTTAGAATGAGTACCCGCCCGAGTTTGCTCGTCGACGACAATTTGCCACTGGCTTCACGGGTTCTGCTGGTCCGTGTGATGCATGCGCATGCGTTCATTGTCTGATCATCTCTGTTGCTTGCTGCCTGTTATCGACACGCAGTCAACATTCCCCTTTGCACACGCTTATCTCTGCCTCACACAAACACACACACGTACGCATACGCACTCACACACGCACTCACACACAAACACACACACACACACACACTCTCTCTCTCTCTCTCTCGCCTTTTCTTTTTGCAACCACTCACACAAGGGGAAGCCGTTGTCACGGAGACAAAGGCAGCAATGTGGACGGACGGTCGTTACTGGGTTCAAGCACAACAGCAACTGGACACGAGCCAGTGGACGCTCATGAAAACTGGTGTGTGTTGGGAGGTGCCCGTCTGTGTTTGTGCTGTGTGTGTGTGTGTGTGTGTGTGTGTGTGTGTGTGTGTGTGTGTGTGTGTGTGTGTGTGTGTGTGTGCTGTCTTGTGCATGTTGCGACCCTGCAAGCTCAACCCATTCTCTCCCTCCCTTTTCGTCAGGGTCTCAGGGCTGCCCCAGTGTGGAGGAGTTTCTCACAAAGGAGCTCAAGCCCGGTGACAAGGTGCCTCTTCGCTGCAGCTGCTGATGCTATTCTTCCGTGTCAAAATGTTGAGATGGTGGACCCACGGTGCCTGGCAACCCGCACTACCAATTACATGCATACTTACACACACACACTCTCTCTCACACACACACACACACTCTCTCTCTCTCTCTCTCTCTCTCTCTCTCTCTCTCTCTCTCTCTCTCGCACACACACACACACACACTCTCTCTCTCTCTCTCACACACACACACACACCCTCGACAACTTGCCTGTTCAGGTTGGCATTGACCCACGGCACGTGCAGCACTCTGCATTTGAATCCATGCGCAGCGCATTGGCAAAGGTGACGACGCACAACGACACAACACAACAGCTGCACAACCATGCAACAACAACACACAATGCAACAACACGGTTTATTGTTGTGTGATTTGGATGCTGCATGTGCATGCGTCATCGACAGAGCGGCGCTGCTGTCGCTTGCTCGCGTGCGTGACTGCTTCCATTGACCGTCGTCCACTTCAAGCTGCTCACGTTCTTCTTGTTGACAATGGCTGTCATGGCTGGTGCTTGCAGGCAAAGGTTGCACTGGTTCCTGTGTCGGAGAACCCCGTTGATGAGCTCTGGGGCGACAGCGATCGTCCGCCCGCCCCATCCGGTCAGCGCGCCGCTGCTGCACTTACTGTTCGCTCGCGTTGACAGTTTCCTTTGGGTTTGGTTTGCTTCGTTGCTTGGCGGCTTGGTTGGTTGTGGTGTGGTTGCATGTGGTGTGGTTGCATGTGGTGTGGTGTGATGGTGTGGGTGTGTGTTCACATCTGTGCTCGCATCTGCTCCCATGCATGCCGTCATCACCTGCCACTCACACCCGGCGTGCGTGTTGCTGCCCTTGTTGTTCTTGTTGTGTTTCAGGTGACATCTTTGCGCTGGATGACAAGTACACCGGGCAAACTGTGAATGACAAGGTGCGGTGTTCGTTGTCGATGTTGATTCAACGAACATGACTACGATCACAATGCGAAAATACACGCACACACGCACACGCGTGCGCATAAATTTACTAATACACAAGACACGACCGCTGGCAGAGCGTGGCTCCGCTCCATTTCGCTGCTGGGGCGTTGCCCTTGAACGTTCTCACGTCCTGCCATCCACATTCCTTCTCCGTGTGTGTGTGTGTGTGTGTGTGTGTGTGTGTGTGTGTGTGTGTGTGTGTGTGTGTGTGTGTGTGTGACGGCCCACAGCTGGCGGCTGTGCGCGGTGTGTTGCAGACGAATGGCTGCTCCTCCCTCGTCGTCACGGCGCTGGATGAAGTTGCTTGGCTCTTCAACCTCAGGGGCAGCGATGTCCCGTACTCCCCAGGTCCGCAGCGCTTGCTTCCTCTTGCTCGCGTGCGCGTGTATTCGTATTCGTATTCGTGATGGATTTGTTTGTCTGTGTGTGTGTGTGTGTGTCTATGTGTGTGTGTGTATTCGTATTCGTATTCGTGATGGGTTGTGAGTTTTTGTGAGTCTCTGCATGCCTCTATGTGACTGCGTGTCCCCGTCCTTTCTCTCGCACTGCTGCACAGCGTGGATACTTCCAACGTTGCTGTTCTAACCTGCAGTCCATACCCTACATCTCCCTTTTCCACTTTGCCTGGATCCATGCGGGCGTGCATCTTTGGTCATTGTCGTCCACAGTGTTTCTGGCCTATGCACTCGTCACGCAGGACGCCGTCACCATCTACACGGACGAGCACAGGTTTGCCCCCGCTGTCCTTCCACGCCTCCAGCGGTCCTCCGTCTCTGTGAAACCTTATGGCGCATTCTTTGATGACATTGCCACGCAAGCGCCCATCCTCACAGGTGTTGTTATGCTATTGAGCACTACCTTTTGCGCGCGTGCGGTGTGTGTGTGTGTGTGTGTGTGTGTGTGTGTGTGTGTGTGTGTGTGTGTGTGTGTGTGTGTGTGTGTGTGTGTGTGTGTGTGTGTGTGTGACACAAGTGCTGTCATCGTTTGCCACCACCACCATTAACGTGTGAGTGCGCTGCACGATCGATGTGCGCTTGGCTCTCAACCTTCCAGCCCGTGTTTATGCAAACTGTCAGAGCACGGCGACATCTGGGTTGGTGACAAGTGCACGGAGGCCCTCTGGCGTCTCATCCCACGCAACAAGGTGCTAACTCGCGCCAACGTGTCAGTTGTGCTTGCGCGCGCGCGCGCGTGTGTGTGTGCGCTTGTGCGCCTGTGTGTGAACGTTCCACACCTTGTCAGTTCTCAACACAACTGTCCTGTCTCTGTTGTTTCCATTTGTCTTTTCCACGCGTTGTGTCAGGCGTGCGTGAAGATGACGCCCACAAACGAGCTCAAGGCTATCAAGAACGACACAGAGTTGCAGGGCATGCGGTAACCACCTATATACACACGCACATACACAGACAAGTTTGCCATTGACAAACGCAAACGTGTACAGGCACAGGCACAGCCATACACACGCATAACTACTCATACACACACATCGTGAACATGTTTGTTTGCGTGCACTTTTGGCCGGTGGGAACACCTTACCCTCAACCCCCCCCCCCTTCTCTCTCTGCGTGTGCGCCGCTCTTTGAACAGAAACTGTCACATTCGCGATGGTGTTGCTCTTTGTCGCTTTTTTCACTGGATGGATGCGCAATTCGACGGCCAGCGGTGCGCATCGTGTGTTCCTTTCTCCGACTGCGCGTGTGTGTGCGTGTGCGTGCGTGTGTGTGTGTGTGCGTGTGCGTGCGTGCGTGTGTGTGTGTGTGTGTGTGTGTGTGTGTGTGTGTGTGTGTGTGTGTGTGTGTGTGTGTGTGTGTGTCCCTCTTTCTGTACGGGCCCGTCCGTCTTTGTACGCGGACCTCAACACACATACGCATGACCACACTGTGCTATCTCACCATTCCCCGTTGAACCAATCAACCACCCACTCATCTTACCATCAGCGGGTCGGGCATGAAGCTCACGGAAATCACTGTTGCCGATAAAGTCGAGGAGTTTCGACGGTACGTCGATGTATGTGTGTGTGCGTGTGTGTGCGTGGATGTATGTGTGTATGTGTGTGTGCGTGTGTGTGTGTGCGTGCGTGCGTATGTGTGTGTGTGTGTGTCTGCACTGCACTGTACTGTTCTGTCCATCTGTCTGCCTGTCTCTCTGTTTGTCCATCTGTATGTGTGCCGACCAGTCCGTGTATGCGTATTGTCACGTTCGCCAGTGGTACTCACACCAATGCAACCTAACCGCCGCCGCCGCCGCCAATAACTTCGTGTCGTGGTGATACCAGCGAGGAGGAGGATTTCGTCAGTCTGAGTTTCCCTTCCATCTCCAGTGTTGGCGGCAACGCAGCAATGCCGCATTACACCCCAGGTCGTCACGCCGTGTGATGTGATGTGATGTGACGTGTTGTTGTCTGGAACGTGTGAATGAATGTTGCTCAGCCACTGGCTGCCGTGCTGTTTCGATGTGCACATGGCTGTGACAGGCAGACTCGTGTGCTGATGTGTGCATGTTCTCGCCCCACACTCGACGCTGCTCTGCTCCGTGCAGATGTGTCGACATGCAAAGTCGTCGACAACCAGCATGTCTACCTCCTTGACAGCGGTGCCCAGTACTTGTACGTCCAAGCGCTTGATGTTTTTGCACAATTTTTTGTGGGCAAACACAACAAACATATGCTACTAGCTACAGTTGAGCTGTATGCCTCGTTGTCAACACAAGCGTCCACCACCAACACATGTACACACACACACACATGTACTCACACACACGCACACACATGTACTCACACATGTACTCACGCACACGCACACACACACACACACACACACACACACACACACACACACACACACACACACACACACACACACACACACACACACACACACACACACAGGGACGGTACGACGGACGTGACGCGAACGGTGCACTTTGGCGAGCCGACGGCGGAGGAGAAGCGTGCCTTCACCGCTGTTCTCAAGGGCCACATTGCTCTGGCTCGCTCCATCTTCCCCACAGGTTTGATGGTGATGCACAGTGGCCGTGGTGTCGATGGGTGCAGGACGAGGGGAGCGGAGAGGGGAAAGTACCGGTGCAGGACAATGGTGTGTGTCTGTATGTTTAGCTGCGTGTTTGTGTGTGTGTGTGTGTTTGCATGTGTGTGTGTGTGTGTCGGTGTGTCGGTGGGTGTGTTTGTGTTTGCATGTGTGTGTGTGTGTGTGTTGCATTGTGTTCGTGCTGTTGCCGCTGCTGTTGACTCCATGATGTGCTGTTCTTTGTTTTGATTTAGGAACTGACGGTCGCACGCTTGACGCTCTCGCTCGCGCCCCAATCTGGTCCGCAATCACACACACGCGCATACACACGTACATACACACATACACACACACACATCGCATGCTCGCGTGTCTCCGCGTTTGCACTTCTGTTCCATGCACTTCGATCCTGACGACTTGTTTGTTGTGTTCTTTTGCATCGCCACCCCACCCGTGTGCGCTCGCACGCTTCAGGCAGTTTGGCCTGACATACACGCATGGCACTGGCCACGGCGTCGGCTCGTTCCTCAACGTGCACGAAGGGCCGATGCTGCTCTCCTTCAAAAAAGGAGCAGGTGCGCACTGCGCTCTCAACATCGGCTGTCGTCTGCTGAGTGATTCTAGCTGAACGCATGATTGGTGTTAATTGGTGATAACTACACTCACTCACACACACACACACACACATACACACACACACACACACACCGTGTAGCCACGCATGAGGGCTTGCATGCAGGCAATGTGGTGACGATTGAGCCCGGTTACTACCAAGAAAACGACTTTGGCATTCGCATTGAGAATGTGGAGATTGTGGCGCCGTCGCTGGAGCAGAGCGGATTCCTGCAGTTTGAAGCTGTCACGCTCGTCCCCATCCAGGTCCGTCAGACACCAAGCATTTGGTGGTGGTGGTGGTGGTGGTGGTGGTGGTGGTGGTGGCGGTGGCTGTTTCTTGTGACAGTGGTGCATGTGGAGCGTGTGGGAACGCACAGCTACAACAGGAGTGGATGGTGCGTCACTGTGATGCCATCTTTTGAACGCCATCCATCATCACCCACCACCTCCTCCTCTTCCATACGCATATTCTGTGGTCGTTGTTGCGATTACATGTGCACAGGCGAAGATGATTGATCGTGATTTGCTCACAGCAGAAGACATCAAGTGGATCAACGACTATCACGACAGTGCGTTGGTTGCACGTGCGTGTGTGTGTGTGTGTGTATGTGTGTGTGTGTGTGTGTGTGTGTGTGTGTGTGTGTGGATGTGTGTGTGCGGGTGTGCAGGTGTGCGCGTCTTCCTGCCATGTGTGCCGGTGTGAGGTTTCGTTCACACTAATCCGCGTATTTCTTTGCTTCATTTCGCCACTGCAGGTGTCGCCAAGTCATTGGACAGCAACTTCAGGAGCGCGGCCTGTGAGTCTCAAAGTTAACAACCCCTTGCAGTTGACACACACACACGCACACATGCACACATGCACACTCGCTCACACACACTCTCTCACTCACTTCTGTTTTTGTCGAATTGGTCGTGACTTCTCACGCAAACCGCTTGTATTGTCTGCTTGTGGATTCGCGCTTCATCAGGGTGGAGGTCATGGAGTGGCTGCACGCAAGCACGATGCCGCTCTAACGTTACACTTACGAGATGCATCACAGCACAAGTGTGTGTGTGTGTGTGTGTGTGTGTGTCCGTTTATCTGTCTGGAAAAGCTGACCTTCTTTGGGATGGTAATTGCGTGCGTGTGGTGTGTGCATGTGTGACTTTGCCGGTCGGGACCTTCCTCTACGTGCGTGTTTCCTCTGTTCTTGCATTGCTGGTTGTTTGGCGTTGTTGTTTCATGTTTGTGCGAATAAACATCGACACTCGCGTGGCCGTAACTCTCCATTCGCATCCAACAACCGCACAGTGCTGACCAACGCCAGCTCGCAACAGCGCGATGTACATGATGCAAAGAGGAACACTCACTCTTCCTGCTTTGCTCGTTTCTCTGGCAGCAACTCCTGCGTCTCGTGCGTCGCTACCTCTCCTGCTGTTGCCGTTGTCGCTGCTGCCTCCTCTGCAGGCGTGGCCGTCGTCGTTGCTGCTGATGCTGCGAGTTCTTTGGTCACAGCTGTTTCCTTTCGCCTGCTCAGCTGCCGCAACACACCCTCCGCGCCAGGATCAACAAGCCTGTCCACGCGCAACGCTTCCTGGAGATGTGTGTGTGTGTGTGTGCGCGTGCGTGTGTGTGTTGTGTGTGTGTGTGTGCGTGTGTGTGTGTGTGTGAGCGGCAAGAAGCAGCACTGGGCATGTGAGAACGAGGTAAGCACATACACACACACACACGTGTTGGCTGAAGACGAACCAGCACAGCATCGATGTTGGAATCGTCAACAAAGTTGCCAGACACCTGCAGCCACGCGTGTGCATGAGTGTGTGTGTGTGTGTGTGAAAGAAGGGTCGTGGAGGGTGGAGTGTCACTGTGCGAGTGCCGTCGTTGCACTGAAACAGAACATGAAATGAAGTTCATGCTACACACATGAACACGTTTGCACGCCATCAAAACGCACTGCAATGGAGTCTGTGATGTTCTGGACGGCATGCGGGGAACCGGACGGAACAAACAGCAGTTCGCCAGCTTGAAGATCGCACATGAGCGGTTGCGTGCAAGCATACAAGTCATGCGGACACGCCTCTCCTGGTGAATGGTCAAACGGGTGCACCTGTAGGAAAGGAGTGCACATGCAGCCGATGAGTGCATGTAATGTGTACATGGTAATACGTTAAAGCAGAAAGTTCAAACATGCGCCCGTGATGTGATGTGATAAGCAGAGCATCAAATGTCAAGGTAGGCGTAATGCTACATGCATCACCATCACCATCAGCAGTGTCACCTTGAACGAAAGTTGTCCGGCTTCGGTGAGATCGGGGTTGAGTTTCGGTGTGTCACCGGGTGGAAAGAAGATCCACCGCTTCACGCCGCTCACAAGAAACATCCAAAAGTTGCTGGCAAATGCGTCCACGTGCAAATCACTCACAACGCCCGCGTTTCCAATGAACAAACTCGGCCACGACCTCGCATACTTGCTGCGCGCAAGAGAAAGAGAGGTCATGCATGTGAGTGAATGAGATGGTATGTGTGTCTGTGTGTGTCTGCGTGTGTCTGTCTGTGTCTGTGTGTGTCTGTGTCTGTTGGATGGTAACTATATTGAACACCTCTACGCACGTGATTGAAAAGCATGCGTGCAGATACACACATGCATATACGCACACACGAACCTGTTTGGTTCCAATTGGTGAAGAAACTCCTGTGGCGTTGTGGCAAACCACAGGAAAGGGTGGGGTGGCGTGTGAAGAGGGGATGCGGTTCAGAAACAAAGCAAGTGGCACGTCATGTCACACACACACACACACACACAAACACACACACACACACACACGCACACACACACACGCACGCACACACACACACGAGCACACACACACACACACACATGTTCAAAATATTTGGGGATGTGGAAGTGTGCCATAAGCTCTGGTAAATGCAGTTGAAGGCTCTGGTCAAAGACGTAGTGCTTCTGTGTTTGTGTTTGTTGGAGAGGCGAACAGCATGTGAGCACAGTGCATTTGTTGACACACACACACACACGCACACACATGGAGAGTCTAACACAGCGTGTACTTACACACACACACATGTATGCACACAGACGCACCTTGTATGCTGCATGTCGCTTGTCGAGAAAGTCGGATATGGTGGTGGTTTCAGCCGCATCCAGCCGCGCCCACTGCAAGGACTTGCGATTCTCCTTGCGCAGTGTCACCTGCACAACGCATTTGCCATGATGAGGCAGCGTTGCCAGACTCGAAGGGGTTTCATTCCACACAGCACTCGCACATGTAGCATTGCAATGACAGCAGCAGCTTCAATATAGTACAGTCGCACAATCATACACAACCACACACTCTCTCTCATTCACTCATTCACTCACTTATTCACTCACGCACTCACAACCGCACACGCAACCGCACACGCAATCGCGAGACGCCAATGCAGCACCTTCCGATGGCCGACCATGGTGCGAACCCACTCCTGCGTCCATGCGCCCTCGAGCACGGCGGCGCTGAGTCCACGGATGACGACGGGTCTGCGGCGGTTGGCGTACTCGTGGCGAAACCGCTCCACTGTCAGCGATGATGCGTCCTCCACTGGCACCGCCGCATATGGTGGGCAGGTGCGCCGCGGTAGCGCTGCTGCTTGAGCACAGCACGACAGCAGCATGGGGATGGAGATGAGAACGGGAAAAAAGGTTGACGCAATCAATCGCGTTGATGCATGCTTTTCCATGTGCCATTCATGTGCTGTTTGCATGGCACGCGCGTGCAAAGGCATGCGGTACACTAGTATTGCATAAACGCACGCAGAATCACAAACACATGACACCAGCAACTACAACAACCCTTGCAACGACAACAACGACGGCCACAACTGGACTCGCGAACATGAGAACGTACGCTGCGATCGAAGAGCTGCTTGTTCTGTCTCGATGCGTGCGAAGCGCTGGACGTGTTTGTGGATCCACTGCAGCTCCGAATTGCTTGAGTCC